ATTTTCCTAATCATTAATAAGGTTGAGCATCTTTCTATCTGCATATTGTATATCTCTTTTAGAGAAATATCCAAGTTCTTTTCTCATTTTAGAACATTTTTTTTTTTGCGTAGTAAAATACATGTTAACATAAAATTTGTCATCTTAACCATTTTTTAAGCATTCAATTCAATGCCATTCAGTGTGTTTTAATTGTACAATCATCATTACTGTTCATTTCCAGACCTCTTTACATTTTGTAGAACTGAAGCACTGTACCCATTAAACAATAACAATTTCTCTTACCCTGACAACCACCATTTTCCTTTTTGTCTACATTAATTTGACTTCCTAGGTACCTAATATAAGTGGAATCATCTAGTATTTGTCCTTTTGTGACTGACAATCTTATTTAATATAATGTCCTCAAGGTTCATCTATGTTGTAACATATGTCGAAATGTGTTTTCTTCCTCAAGCTGAAAAATAATATACATATATATGTATACACATACATATATGTGTGTATTACTCTTTGTTTATCCACCTATTGATAGGCACTTGGGTTAGTTCCATCTCTTAACTATTGTGAATAATGCTGCTGAGAACATGGGTGTACAAATATCTGTCAAGTGCCTGCTTTCAATTCTTTTGGGTATATACCAGATGAGTGGATTTGCAGGACCATATGGTAATTCTATTTTTATTTTTATTTTTTTTAGGAATCACCACTCTGCTTTCCATAGCAGCTGCACCATCTTATATTCCCATCAGTAGTGCACAAGTGTTTCAGTTTTTTCACATCCTCATTACACTTGTTATTTTCTGTTTTACTTTTTTTCCCTTAAAGCCGTCCTCAAAGGTAAGGCAAAGTAGACTTTACAATAAAACATTGTTAGAGACATTTGTAAATTCTAAAAGAGATCACTCACAGAGTCATGAGGCAATTTTAAGATTAAATGCACCTAACACAATTGTCTCAAAATTTTATATATGTAAAATAAATTTGAAAGAAGATTTATGAACTCAAGATTTTAACACCTTTCTTGGTAACTAATAGTCAATAAACTAGCAGTAAGAATATAAAATATTTACAGAGTACAAGTAACAAAAAAGAACTAATTGATATAAATTAAACAGCAAATAATAGCAGTACAATCAAACACTCAAAACCACATGGAGTAGTTGCCAAACTAAATCATGTGTAGGGCCTTAAAATAATTCTCAAGAAAATTAGAATAATTTAAATTATACAGAATATGTTCTTTAGCAGTGGAGTTATGCTAGAAATTAGTAAGTGTAGTTAGAAAATTTCCATAAAAAATATAACAGTAGCCATCCTAATAAGTATGAAGTAGTATTTTATTGTGGTTTTGATTTGCATCTCCCTAATGATTAGTGATTGTCCTAGTCAGCTCAGACCCCCATAACAAACACCGTAGATTGAGTGACTTAGCCAACTGAAAATGACTGCTCTTATTTGGAGGCTGGAAAATTGAAGCTCAGAGTTCTTAGCAAAGTTCATGGTGTAGCTTTTCTGCTGTTTCCAGAAGTGACCTACCTATTGTGTCTTTACGTGGAGAAGAGAGAGAAAGATTTTTTTTTCTTCCTCTTCTTTAAAAAAAAAAATCATTTATGTATACAAAGTGGAGTACAGGCCAGAGCTATGGCGGGGGATGTGAGAGAGGATTCACCCAAGACAGAATGGAGTGCAGAATAGGAAGACCTACTGAAATACACTACTGACAAGTAGCGGCTGAGACAGGAGACGTCTGCTGCACCTCCCTGGCCAGGAGTGGCTGTGGGTAGCTTCATTATCCCCTGTGCCACCAGGAAGGGTCCTCGCTTCCTCTTCTGAAGACACCAGTCCTATTGTATTAGAGTCCACACTCGTGATCATATTTAACCTTAATTACCCACTAAACACCCTATCTTCAAATACAATCACAAATGAATTTTGGAAAGGACAATTTGGTGTGTAGCATTGATGTTGAACAACTTTTCATGTGCTCCTTGGTCATAGGTATATCAATTTTGAAGAAGTGTTTATTCACATCTTGTGTACATATTTTAATTGTCTTTATTCTATTTTGAGCATAGGAATTCTTTAAATATTCTGGATATTAGCCCCTTATAAGACATATTAGCCACAATTTTTTTCTTCTAGTCTATGAGTTGCTTTTTCACTCTCTTGATTGTGTCCCTGTTTGCCGATTTTTAAATTGAGCTATTTTTATTGTTCAGTGCAAGAGTTATTTAAATGTTATGGGTATAAGTCCTTTGCCAGATCTGATTTTCTCCTATTATGTGGGTTGTTTTTTTACTTTTTCTTTCTCCCACTGTCAACAAATAGAGCTTTGTTTTTTAAATAATTTTTATAGTAGTAACATCAATTTATAACATTTTATGTTTCAGGGTTACAGCATTATAATTCAACATATGCATTTAATATCATGATCAACCACCAAAATTCTAGTTTGTATTCACTGTCATACATTTGACACCCTTTTCCCATTTCCTCCACCTCTGAACCTCTACATCAATCTGTTCTCTGTATCTAAGAGATTTTTTTTGTTTTACTATATTTTATTTGCTCACTTGCTTTGTTTATTTATGAATGAACTCATACATTGTTTTTATTTCTCCATCTGATTTATTTCATTTAGGATATACACTTAAGATCCCTCTATGTTATCATAAATGGCAAGATTTTGTTTTTCATAGCCAAGTAGTATTCCATCGCATATATGTGTAATTTTCTCTCTTACCGTACATATCACATATATCTTTATCCATTAATCCATCAGTAGGTACTTAGGTTATCTCCATAACTTGGATATTATAAATAATGCTGAAGTGAACATAGGGGTGCAAATATCTCTTCCTGTTTGTGTTATTGTTTTCTTTGAGTAAATACTCAGTAGTGGTAGATCTACTTGTAATTTTTAAAATAACATCCACACTATTATCCACAGTGACTGCATCAGTTTATATTCCTACCAACAGTGCATAAGGGTTCCCTTTTCTCTTTATCCTCACCAATACTTGCTGTTTATTTATTTTTTTAGTCATAGTCATTCTAACAGATACGAATGATAGCTTTGTTTCGCATTTCCCTGATAATATGTGATGATATACATCTTATTATGTGCCTGTTGTTCATCTGTATGTCTTCTTTGGTGAATTGTCAGCTCAGATTTTATGTCCATTTTTAATCAGGTTGTTTTGTTGTTTTATGCGTTCTTTTTGATACTAACACTTTGGTCATGTGTATGGCTTGCAAATATCTATTCCCATTTAGTAGGTTACCTTTTCATTTTGGTAATTATTTCTTTCACTTTCACTGTAAAAATCTTTTAGCTCAACATAGTCTTATTTGTTTATTTTTGCTTTTGTTTCCCTTATTGGAGTCAAATGTCCAAAAACACATCTAAGGTCAATGTTAAGGAATTTACAGTCTACATTTTCTTCTCTTTATGTTATGCTTTCAAATCTTATATTCAAGTCTTTAGTCCATTATGAATTAATTTTTATGTATGGTGTTAGACAGTGGGCTAGTTTCATCATTTGGCATTATAAATTAAGAAACAAATACCATTTACTAAAAAGAAAAAAATACCTAAGAATAAATTTAACCAAGTTGGTGAGAGACCCGTATTATGAACATTGTAAGGCAGTGTTGAAAGAAATAAAAGACATAAATAAATGGAAAACAGTATTCCATGTTTATGGATTGGAAGAATATGCATTGCTTCAATGGCTGATTAACTAAAGGAATATAATGATACAGTGCAATCCCTTGCAAAATCTCAATAGCATTATTCATGGGAGTAGAACAAAAAATTATATAATTTGTATGGAAACACAAAATACCTCCCAAAGCTGAAGTAATCCTGAGGGAAAATAACAAGAATGGAAGTATCAAATTCCCTGACTTTAAATTATACAACAGTGCTATAATAATAAAAATGGCATTGGTGTTGGATGAAAATATGTCCATAGATCAATGGTACAGAATTGAGAGGTCAGGTATAAACCCATACACATAGGTGTACTTATTTATGGCAAAGGAACCAAGAACATACAGTAAAGAAAGAAAGTCTCTTGAATAAATTGTGCTGGGAAAAAAAATTTGTTTTTTCTGGACTGTGTCCTTCAAAGTACAACATTTTTAATTCTGATCAAGTCCCATTAAGTTTTTCTTTTGTTGCTTATGCTTATACTGTCATGTCTAAGAAACTATTGCCTAATTCGATGTCATGAAATTTTACTCCTATGGTTTTTCTAAGAGATTTATAGTTTTAGCTGTTACATTTAAGAGTTAGGCTATATTTTGTGTTAATGTTTGTATATGGTGTGAGATTTTTCCTTTTAATCCCTATGAACACAGTGGTTTTGTAGTGTTTTTACTAGATTAGATATGAAAAAAATAGCAAGGAGTTTTTTTGTGTGTGGTTGTTTAGGGAGTCTCAAAAAATCACTGACTCATTACAGACACAAGACATCATATCCATTTATATCATCAAAATTTATCTCATTCACATTAAGCTCATTCACTCTGTTTTATAAGCATCAAAATCCAAACAATGGTAGCTTAACAGCAATGACTGCCAATAGCAATTGAGATAACATTCATGGGAAGATTATGACAATATCTTGATTACAAATAAAGGCTTGGTTTTACATTTTAGCCCAGAATTGGCTAAGATTCCATATCATATTTTAGTCTAATTAATGGCAGAGTAACTAATTAAAGTGGGAAAGATATTAGCAAATCAGTCATGATGTCAAGTACAATCAAAATACCATTTGGCATAGACATATAGGAAAGCTCATAGCGACAGATCTGTGTGATAAATAGAGACAGACTATTCAGATATTGAAAAGTCAAGGTAATACTTTCAAAATTAGCATCATTCAGTTAGATTTTAATTTCTTCCTCTGAATTATCATACAGTTGAATTGGGCTTTGATTTACTGACATTTTAAAATTTGATGAGTGTTTTCTTTTTGGCTTTGCAGGATGCACAGAATCAAAAATTAAAAACAAGTGTATGGTACCGTGAGGTAAGTGATTATTTCTTCCCATGCATGCTGAACTTCTGATCTCTATCTGTTGCAAAATGTAATTACTCTAAAGAATAAATACTAACTTTGTGTTTATGTTTCCTTAAACTTGCAGCAGATGTAATTTGTTAGAATCCATGATTTCTCATGGAGCTACCATCTTTGGGATTTGGATGGGTAGTTCTCTCCCCTAACAGATAATACGAACAGTCTGGTCGATTGGATTATTGGTCCAGCTACTTCTTCATCTCATTGGTGTGGTCAATTTTGATAAATTTCTTTTTTGGTTACTCTTAACAGGTTTGGGATGATGAGTTTTTGTCTTGGAACACCAGTTTGTTTGATGATATTAGAGAGATCTCTCTACCTTTAAGTGCCATCTGGGCTCCTGATATCATCATTAATGAGTTGTAAGTGTGTTTGGGTATATTTCTGTGGGTATAGACTGCTTAGAATATTCAAGTAAGTTGCTGCTTTTTTAGTTATTGTTGCCTTTTTTTTCTTTCTAAATATCTAAACAATATTGTTGAGAATATTGAGGTAAGAAGTAACATGAATTGACATCATTTAGGACAGCTTTGATTACTTAATGCTTGAAGTTACTCATGCTTGTGATTTAACAGTAGCAGGTGAGTTAACTTACGAGCCTGTTTTTTCTGGGTCACCTATCTCATAGGAAACATGCTTCTTTTTTGTACTTCTAGTGTTATCTTGTGTCTCATAGGAAACATGCCTCTTTTTTGTACTTCTAGTGTTATCTTGTGTGTCATGGTCCCATAACTGGTTCTGTTGATGTATTGGAATAACAAGGTTACTTTTGTTTTATATAGTGTGGACAGTGAAAGAGCACCTGATCTTCCCTATGTGTATGTGAACTCATCTGGGACCGTTAAAAACTCCAGGCCTATCCAAGTAGTCTCTGCATGCAGTTTAGAGACATACGCTTTTCCATTTGATGTCCAGAATTGTAGCCTGACCTTCAATAGCATTCTACATACAGGTAAACCATGACAGGTAGAGTCCATTAGCTGGAAACAGTCATGCTAGGCTGCCACACACAGATAAAATTATATTATGGCATCCCTCAAGTCCATTTCACTTTTGAACATAATTGATTTTATAAAAATATAAATATTTTTACAGTTATTTGGCTCTTGCTATAATTCAAGTGCAGTGCTATGCCCAGGTAAGCAGTCCTTTGCTACTCTTGGTATGGGAAGAAAATGGTAGGTTTCTACTGCCATTGAGAATATTATCTACATTATAGGGCTGGCTTCAACCATCTACAGATAATGGACTCAACCCCTAAAATTCAAATCCAAAAACCTATAAAGGTTTTACTTCACACCTCTATTCTTAATTCAAATGAGTGAAACCATGTGCTTGGGAGCAAGAGTGAAAGGAAAGACCTGAATCAGAAGTTGGAAAGTAGATAGTTGTTAGTGTCACTGGCGAAGGAAGAAACTATTGTTTCTGCTGTTTTTCAGTGGAGGATGTAGACCTGGCCTTCCTGAGGAGCAAAGACGACATTAAGCATGACAAAAAGGCATTTTTGAATGACAGCGAGTGGGAACTTCTTTCTGTATCCTCAACATACAACATCCTGCACAGCAGCACTGGAGACTTCGCCCAGATTCAGTTTAATGTAGGTGCTTCTCCTTTCCATCCCTGTGGTACACTTCTCCACATTCTGTGGCCTTCTCTGTTGGACTGAGGAAGCGCTTCATCACATGTTCTCATTCATTGTCATCTAAGAACTGTTGATTCAGATGGCTCTGGACATTCACTTGTTTTCTGGGAATTAGAGACCAGAGGTCAGGACACAGACCCTGCCTCCTTATATACACTCCACAAATGAATATACAGAGAGTGGTTTTCAGAAGTGAGAGGTCTGAGCCACCCCCACCAGTGTCCTCTAACCTTTCAGAAATACTTTCTCACTTCTAATTGCTACCCAGCATGGGGGTGAGAGTGAAAACCCTCACACAGCAACAAAAATTTGGGAGAAAGTGCTTTTTCAACATGATTGTTCTGTTTTTAATTGAGTAAATTATTAATGCATTCCAGATGCCGTTGTATAAAATTATCATACTATTAACTTAAATATTTGGAGAGGTTAGCTGATGAATCACCTGCAGGATTCTCAGAGACTATGGTGATGTCCATACCAGGAAGAATAGCTGCCCATAAAGGAAATTATGAGAACCCAACCTTAGCTATCCATCTGGGATGCTCTTGGCTGCATTGGTCACAGGAAAATTTGTCCAGTAGGGATCTGAGGGGGAATGAGAAGTGGGGTGTGGGGAGGTCAGTAGGGTGCAGAATGATCAAGTGGACTGCTTTCCCCAAAGCAACTGTTCTTCCTTCCTGACACACTGTCCTAACCTATAGTCTGCAGCCAGTGCAAACTGTGGGTTCACATCGTTAGTATTCCGCTCGAATTTTCCATGTGAAGTCACTAATGGTGGTTGGAGTTGGTGCTTTATGCCAGCTACGGATCTGATTGAGAAGTAGAGACCAGGAGGATCAGAATTGCACAGTAGATGCATTCTTTTGAAGAAGGATGTCTATACGGCAGCAGGTGATGGTGGTGAAATAGACGATTATTGAGGGCACAAATGTCTCTCCATTGTTTAAACAGGTTAAATGCAGCTTTCCAGCAAAGCTCTTGTTAAACAGGGACTTCGAAGAAACAGCTGTGGTTTGAATATGACTTACATAAAAAGCTGGGTTCTAGCTAATCAACTCCTGCCTTCCCAAGGGTGGGTTCTTGCTCATGCCGCTTGCTTGTTTTACATAGAAAAGCTTGCATTGTGGTCTGTTTGTCCACTTTTTCTTTTTAGTGAGGGAAAAGGGGGGGAAGTTTTTTTAATTTCATTGAGTTCCTTGGCTAAGAGTAAACACCTCATTAATTTTAAAGATATCAGCCCACAAACATTTTTAATGCAGCCCGAATAATGGAGAACATTAAAAGAAAATGTGAGGGAGTAGCACGTGCAAGGTGGAATGTAGTCACCTACCAAGCACTCCGGAGAACACTGCACACACCATTACCTACACTGCACGAGGAGACAGACAAAGGCAAGAGACCGGGCAGGTAAAAAGGAATGTTCGCTCTCTTTCTTTCCCTCTTTCTCCCTTTCTCTCCCCCTCTCCATCTCTCTCTCTCTTTCTCAGCTGTTATTTTTAATTACACATCACCCTTCACCTAAATATTAATTTGCCCTCTCAACAGTAGAGAGAGATTTTCTACATACTGGATCCCTTATTTACATATTTTTAAATGTATTATATTATGGAAGTTTTAGACATGCATCATTATAAAACATCTGAATATACCAAACTGAGTTTTAAATACGATGAACAGAGGTGTGGAATGTTATTTAAGGAAAGTGCGGCTTCCCTGGTTTTCAGGAGCCACTGTCCATTTCCTTTCCTTCCTCACTGCCATGCTACTTCTCCGTTTGCAGGGTTTTCGTGGACGTGTGCCGGCGTGAAGTGATAGAATTCCATGCTCCTGGAACTTTTCCCTGAGGGAAAAGTTTGCCTTTGCCTTTGCAATGATCTCTTCCAGTTCTCAGACCCCTATTGTTTATCTCAAAACACACTGACACATTGGATGAGCATTCTACCTGGCCCCCAGCACAGGCCTGTCTGCTTATAAGTTTGTCTGTGAGCAGCCAGATACCAGATCTGGCAGCCCTGGCAGGAGACTTCCTCCAGTACATGATCAGAATAGCTGGTCACCAGAGATAGGAGGGTGGACTTTGATTTCTGTGTGGAAACATTTTAGTCTATTTAAAGAATGAGGATCAAAGTGGGAGGAAGTAGGAATAAAATTTAAGAACTCAATTAGTTGGGAAAGGTGGACACCTGTGGGAACTAAGGGGTACCCAACCACAGAGTAAAAGTTTCATTCAGCCTTGGTGGAGGCCCACAGAGGACCACTAGAAAATGGGGGAGAGGGTTTTAGGGGAAGAGGCACTGGGTAGAGTTTTGAGCTATTCATTGAATGTTGCTCATCAGTTTGGTAGAAGATCCTTCTGAGCTCCACCAGGACAGAGGATTTTAGGATCACTCAACTCACCCTGAAAGCATGGACTTTCTGTGAGGCCAGCCCCGCTTATGGTCCAGATCCAAGAAACTCACTCCAGTGCAAAGCTCTTCCTCAGTTGACAGCGACTTGCCCATTCTTTCTGAATTGGGAATGTTGGGAGGGGCTTGGGAGAGGAGGAAAATGGGCTTCTGCATAAAGTGTGTGTCTGTGCGTCAAAATTCCAACTATGTCATAAAGACGGTCATGCAAAATTGAGTACTGGTGGGGTCTACCATCAAGGAGGCGATTAGAGACTAACCTTGGGGCCTATTCCATCTCCAAGGAGCTCTCCACACACACATTCTGAATTAGATTGATCTCTTTCATTAACATCAATAGGCTCCAAATACCTTTGTGTACTTATTATTACCTGGCTTTAATGGATAATGAAATTGTGGCATAATATTGCTAACACCTGAAGGGTGTCTAATGGAGAACACGGACTGAAACTAAAGTGCTTTTTCTTCCCTTTCTGGGGAATTTAAAGGCACCGGCTCCTTTAGTCCGTTAGAAATGATGGGCTGTAGGTAAGGGCAGTTCCGTAGAGCCCAGTGTCTCGCTGAGCTGGTGGTGCACCTGCCCCTCAGAGGAAGCAGGGATTAGTGCTTCTGGAATGACCTGCAGAGAGGTAGCCCTCAGAGGGCCGACCCCAATATCAGAACTTCATTTGGACTAACTCTACACTCCTACCCCAGGGAAACTAAAAATAGCATCATGTACAGCTCAGCAGATATCTTTTGAGCTCTTACCATGGGCAGGCTCAATGAGAAGTGCTGGGGACATAAGCACGACATAACAAGGCTCCTGATCTTTCACAGACCTCAAAATCTACCCAGGGGAAACAATAACCACAAAATTGACCCCACTCCACATCAGGCACCATTTCAAGAATGTTGTACCTATAATGGTCACATCTCTCTGAGGTGGGTCCTCTAAGTTACACAATTTCATAGACAGTTGTGTTGGATGCAGAGAAGTGTCTTGCCCCAAATTACAGAGTGACTGGGGGAGACTGCACTTATACCCAGGCAATTTGACTACAGAAACTATATTCCCAATCCTATATAATGGCGGCGGCACACTATTCAACATAGTCCAGTATGTTTCAATTCATTCTTTGGCATTCATCCACTGTGTGTTATGGGGCAAGTCATCTGTATTAGTTTCCTGGGGCTGCACTAATGAAGTTCCAGAAACTGGGTGACATTAAACAATAGAACTTTATTCTTTGGGAGATCTAGAGGCTAGAAGACTGAAACCAAGGTGTTGGCTGGTTCCATCTGGGCACTCAGAGGGACAGACCTCTTCCATGCCTTTCTCCTGACTCTAGATGGTTGCCAATATCCTTGGCATCCCGTGGTCTCTTAACATATTATGCCAACAATTGCCTCCATCCTCATAGGGTCCTTCTCCTTTGTGTCTCCTTTTGTTAGCTACCAATCACATTGGGTTCAGGGCCCATCCCCTTCCAGTCATATTTCATGTTCATTAATTGCATCTACAATGATTCTATTTCCAAACAAGGTCACATTCTGAACTTCCAGAAAGGATATGGAGTTTGGGATATTTTTTTTTTAAGATTTATTTATTTATGCATACAGAACTGGGGTACAGGCCAGAGGCTCAGGGGCGGCGAGAGGCTTCACCAGAGACAGAGCGGGGAGCAGAACAGGCAGATCGACGAAGTACACTGCTGAGGGGAGCAGCAGGCGGGTCAGGAGAGGTCTGCCACACCATGTGGTCACCTCTGGGGCAGGCGGAATCGAACTCATGCGGAAGCGGCTTTAGATTCTCAGTGCTGTGCTTTAACCCACTGCGCCACCAGGGAGTGCTATTGTGGGATATTTTTTAACTTGGCACAGTTGAATGCCCTCTGGCTCCCATAAAAGGCATGTTCCTCTCACATGCAAAATACATTCACCCTACCCCAATATTCCCAAACATCTTAACACATACCAGCATCAACTCTAAGAACAAAATATCTAAGTAAAAACTTAAACAGTCCCATAGCTCACTTCTAAATCAGGTATCAACTCTGGGTCTGGTCTAAACTGAGCAAGCTTCCTCTCCATCAGACTCGTGGAATAACAGACCTCCAGAATCTGGTTTCCCAACACAGAAGGGAGTGGGGTTAGGGAAGAGCAGGAACCTGTCCCGTTAACAGTTCTAAGTTCAGGATTTAGCATAGTGCTTGGCACTTTGTTCATGCTAAGTTAGAGTTTCTTGAACAAGGGAACAAATGGCTTTGAGGATCAAATGAGATAATGAAAACAAAACATTTCTGAAAACTGAGTAATAAAATTAGAGTTTCTTCAGGCTGCATGGGACTAATGGACAAAATTAGTCTGGTCTACAGCTAACATTGCCCCTAGGTCAACCTAAAGAAAACTTCAGGTCCTTGGTTCTCATAAAATAAAACAAAAAATTAGTAACTATTTGGCCTGTCTTAGGGAACATTCTTGCTCAAGGCAGGAGAATGGATTGGCAGGTGGTGAGGAGAGGGTCTCTCTAGCTTTTCAAGTTTGTACACCAAACCTAGGCTGGGGAGATTTCTGCTTTATTTTATAGCAGAAACCAACTGTCTACTTTTGCGTCTACCTGCATCCTCTGTACTTTCAGTTACTGCTGCTATTGAATGAGAACCATCCTCCTGACCAGAGGGACCGAATGCAAAGTGGGAATGCAGGATGCTTGTTCACAAATTAAGAATTTTAAAATGGCACCAGGGGAACATTAGGTCTCAGGCAGACGGACCCTGATGGTCATGTCACTGTGCTCGCCACAATCCCCGAACCTCTCAGCCCCCCCACATTCGGAACGTGTGTTCTGATGAACCAGAGGGACTGGGCTTGTCCACTCTTTAGTTCTTGCCCAGATTTCCATTGACCCCTGTTTCCTGATGAAAGTCTCTTTACAGCCATCATCTCCGCACGTGCTATTTACGTACGAATTTTATTTAAAGAACAAAACAGTAATCTCAATTGCACCCAAGATGTTTGGCAAGGCAAAAGTAAATGGCTTTTCAAAAAAAAGAAAAGAAAAAAGGAAAAAAGCAAGGCATGGAGAGGCTGAACTTCTCACACAGGACAAGGAGGCCCTTGGAAGCAAGGATCTCGGGAACTCTAAGTCTGGCTTTTTCCACATCACCAACGTGACTGCTTGTCCTTTCCTTTAGGGATGATCTTCTTGTACTTTTCATCTTCTTCATGTCACACATACTACAAAGTCTGGCAGGGTGGGGGGTGTTCCTCCTCCTCCTGTCTGGAGATAGCAGACTAGGTTGCTCCCGACCCCAATTCTATTTGATCACATCTCACCTGCCCAGGTGAGGGTCCACAGTACAAGACGCCCAGCGGGCTCTGCCATTTGCCTCTCGCCCCGCTGCCCCCAGCCCAAGCCACTGAGTCACAGCGTGACAAAGGAGCCGTGGAGGTACAGGTCCATGACGTTCAGTGTGTTGTTTTTCCTGTTCACTGCACTTTGGTGGGAATGTGTTTTAACCAAATTATTGCAGAGCAGTGAGTGTCGCTCTGGTTTGGATATTTGCAGCCAATTATGCTTAATGTGAAAGACGACAGCCTGACTACGATCCAACCAATGCCTCTGGCCTGCCAAGCTCCACTGAGCAGAGATGAGCTCCAGACTCCAGGGCTGGGCAGCTCCTGCTCCCTCCCAGCCTGGCTTCCCCCTCTGTCCCTCTACCTTGGCTCATTTCAATGTGATTTTCTTCCAGAGCAGGAGAGATGTAGGAGAAAAGCCCTGACCTCAGCTCAGAGGTCTGGTTGCATAGCTGTGTCTGTGTTGAGCAGAAAGAACACTGGACTCGGTGTTGGAGGAGATGGGACACACCCATCCTGCCCCTTGCTGTTCCCACTCAGGGGCTCAGCTGTAATTTTTTTTCTAATCTATGAACCTAATCTATTTCCAAATCCAACAGCAAATGGGTTATAACATTCATGTTTGGTAAACTTCTACTGACTACCCACTATGAATTTTGGGCCCAGGAAGGAGTTTTAAAAACTTTCTGCTCTTGGCCCTCCCTGGTGGCGCAGCGGGTTAAAGCACTGCATTGAGAAGCTAAAGCCACTTCCGCATGAGTTCGATTCCCGCCTGCCCCGGAGGTGACCACATGGTGTGGCAGACCTCTCCTGACCCACCCGCTGCTCCCCTCAGCAGTGTGCTTCGTCCATCTGCCTGTTCTGCTCCCCGCTCTGTCTCTGGTGAATCCTCTCGCCACCCCTGAGCCTCTGGCCTGTACCCCAGTTCTGTATGTACAAATAAATAAATCTTAAAAAAAAAAAAAAAAAAAAAAAAACTTTCTGCTCTTGCCCTGAAAAGAGCCACAGTCTAGTGGGGAAGCAGCCCTGTCATCCCCTGGATGACAAGGCTTATGTAAGGCAGCTCCTGCCAACATCTCCAAGAAGCTTGGTATAAACAAGTGACAATAGTCAGTGATTTTTTGAGATGCAGATTCCCAGCTGCCCAAGCCACTCAGCAGCTCTGCATGCCCGGCCACACTGCAGGTGTGCTGGGTGTCTTGAGGTGGCCCTCACTCAGCTCCACTCTCCCCCACCTCTGCTCTGTGCTCCTAGGACCATCGCCTGTGTCCTGCAGAGCTTGATTCCCCTGAGGTATGTGGCCAGTAGAGGGCAGGAGAGCAGGAGTAAGAGATTGGAGGGGGTGCGGAGAGTGATGGGACTTCTTTCTCCACTCCCATCCTGGTGGAGGTCCTCCAGGCTGGCTGTCTCCAAAGAGGAAGCCATAGTTCCTACCCAGCAGCCTCTCCACACAGCTCTCTTTCTCCCCTTGGGCTCCAGCCATACTCACAATCCTCGGCCCCTTCAAGCCCCAGGGCAGGAATATTACGAGTCTCCTAAGTCCCTCAGTCTCCTAAGTCCCCAAGGCCAGTCCTCCTTCTTGTGGTTTCCCTAATGCCCTGCCCAGCTCAAAAGATTCTCTTTATGTTCACCTCAGATTTCCACCTTAATTGTGCTATTTGTCCCTGCCAAGACTCTGACTGCTGTGCAGGTTTTTAGGTACTTGCACACCAAGTAAGAAGATAGACTAAAAATTAAATGGTACAATATGTTGCACAGAAATAATTAAAAAAAAAAAAAAGATTTGTTGATAAGACCTGGTTTTAAAGCAGTTTCTCACCAGTGAGTTTGGAAAAGTAATTTTGTCTCTTTGAACCTCAGTTTCCTTATTGATAAAATGGTTATGAAAATTGAAAAAGATAAAAAGGATTTGAAATACTACCCCAGTGCTTGCCATACATCAAGAGGCAACTGAAGGATAGGTTCGTATTAATAATATTAGGTCTATATAAAATGTAAAGCACTTCCCCCCTATTTTCTAAACTACAAAATAATTTTCTGCCTCTGTACATGGCTTCACGTTATGGGAAAGTATTGGGACTTCAGGGCATGATCTTGGCTATGAGTTTGGCTGAACACTAGTCCTCCAGCTTAGAGCCCTTTTCAACACACTTATTGTCTCTGGCCAGGTGGTGATTCGCAGGCGCCCGCTCCTCCATATTGTGAACCTGCTGATCCCCAGCATTTTCCTAATGCTTGTGGACCTGGGGAGCTTCTACCTCCCACCCACCTGCCGTGCCAGGATTGTGTTCAAGACAAGTGTGCTGGTGGGCTACACCGTCTTCAACGTCAACATGTCTGATGAGATGCCAAGGAGCACCGTGAGCACTCCTCTGATTGGTAAGCAGCCTCGCGATCACCAGCGCCCTCTTCATTCCAGTCAAAGCTCTGATGTTACATTTCAGATTTGGGAGAGGAGAGAGACGCCCTGAAAACTCTAGCTAATGTCATCTCCTTTGGTTGCTTCTCTTAGGAGTCTTCTTCACTGTCTGTATGGCCCTGTTGGTCCTCAGCTTATCTAAGTCCATCGTATTGGTTAAATTCCTGTATGATGTGAGTAGCAGCGGGAAGGAACGACCCATCTTGTGCTTTCGAGGAAACATTGACAGTGACTGGCCAGGAATGGATCCCAGGACCCAGCGTGAGGGAGTAACAGGTTTGTGAGAAGTCTTGATCCCCCCACCCTGTCTTCTCTGTCACTGTCAACACCAGTTCTCTCGAATGAAGAACCAGGCCGGGTTGGGCAGGGTGAATTTGAAGCACCCTATTTCTTAGCTCCTGGGCTGGATTTCATTTACAGGAGACTGAGACCCTCTCTTGTTGACTTTCTTGGCGTAGAGGTCAGGCCTCAGTGGTCCCTAGGTTGTTTCATTTTTCAGTTTCAATCAATTACCTGGAGGGACTGAGCCACTGGACTCAAAATGCTAGAGTGCCGGTATGCTCATGGCGCATGCACACAAGTGCACTCACACACGGTGTTATATATGTGGGTTCCAGGTGCATAAAGTGAAACATTTTAAGAAACGTTCAAACCCTACAGCTCCCACTGAATCAATATGTGCTGACCTCTTGCTCAAAAAATCTCCTGGATGGGTTGTGCCCAGACACCCTACACACGCAATAGAGCTGCCATGTTTCCCAGGCTTCCACTGCCTTGCCTCCTCTCAGTGAGTGGAGGCCCCCAGCGCTCACCCAACTTACTGCCCAGTTATACCCACAAGTCTCCTCAAAAGATGAGCTCATCAGCTTCAGTGGGAAGTCCAGGGGGTCTTAGTAGTTTACCTAGGGTTGTTTTCGTCTATCACACAGACTCTCCCACTGGTCAAGAGCATCAGGCCCAGTCAGGGACTCTGAATGAAATCTGTTCCCAACTTCAACCCATCAGCAATTACTTCCGAACCTGGGACCACGAGGACCAACAGGAGGTCAGGAGGCTGGCCCTCCTGGAGCGTTTTGACCGACTGCTCTTCCAAAGCTACCTTGTCGTGCTGGGGCTCTATGCTGTCACCCTGTGCTCCTTCTGGGTGCTGTGGAGCGGCTCTTGAAGACTGGAGTTGGTGGTCTCGCAACCCTTAACAGAAGACTGGTGGGGGGTCTTCTGTGGGGAGATTAGAGGGGAAGGATGGTGGATTAAAAAACTCTCCTCGCGCTCTTGTCTCATCCCCCAACACCTCCCTGCCTCCTTTTATTCAGCTCAGGTGTACATACCTAGTGAACTAGCAAGTGAATGGCCCAGGAGAAATGCCAGAGTGATTTATGATGAGGATATATGGATGTCCAGTGAAAGCTAAACCTGCCTTCTGGCCCTAGTGCCCTCCCCTCAGATTGTTAACATCCTCTTTCAGGAAACTTCGAGGCATGTATAGGTATGGTTTAACAATTTTTTTTTAAGAGTAAACTCATTCCATCTTCCAATTCTGTCTTGGTCACTGACTCAAAGCCTTTATTGAGTACTGATTAGGCATTGTATTAGGTGCCCCAGAGTCAGTCACACTCCATTCTTAATACCAAATTCCCTCCAAACATACCTTTCTGCAATTTTTGTCCCCACCAACACTATCGAGTGTGTCTTCCTCTCTGCGTCTTCAGAAGTGCATTGTCACTGAGGGGATGTAGACACCAAGGCTGGAGCCCCAATCTAGTCCACTTAGTTAATAACACCAGGTGTGAGGGGCTAAGCTGGGAGCTGTGGCCCTTGGAGTTTGCAATTCACTATATTTGTGCAAGTCTGCCATCACAAAACCATGGACTAGATTTTGTCCATAACCTTCCTTGAAAGAACTTTATTTTCTGTCTAGAACCAGGAGCTGATTTTCTCACAGTCAGGGCTGGAACCCCAAGACTGGGTTGATTTCTTATGAGGTCTCTCCTGGACTTCCCTATGGCTCCCTTTCCCTGATCCTCACGCTGCTTCTTCTGTGCTTATACATATCTGTGTCCAAGTGTACTCTTCTTAGGACACCAGTTATATTGGATAGGGCCATCCAAGTGGCCTCATTTACCATACTATCTCTAAATAGAGTCACCTTTTGAGGTATTGGCGATTGGAAACACAATATGAATTTTGTGGGGATACAATTCAGTTCATAACAACTCATGTGATGGGGGAGGCTTGACGAGTCCAAAATCCGAAGGAAAGGCTACAGGCTAGAGACCCAGCGCAGAGTTGCACTTTGAGTCCAAAAGTAGAATTTTCAGCAGAATTTCATTTCATTAATGGAGGTCACTCCTTTTTCTTTTTTTTAAGATTTATTTATTTATGCATACAGAATGGGTACAGGCCAGAGGTGCAGGGGCGGTGAGAGGATTCACCAGAGATAGAGTGGGGAACAGAGCAGGCTGACTGATGAAGTACACTGCTCAGGGGCACAGTGGCAGGTCAGGAGAGGTCTGCTGCTCCATGCAGGTCACCTCGAGGGTGGGGATCGAACTCATGCTGAAGTTGCTCTAGCTTCTCAGTACTGTGCTTTAATTCGCTGCACCACCAGGGAGGGCCCAGTCACTCCTTTTTCTATTAAGAACGTTGTCTGATTGGCTGAGGGCCACTCACATGCTGAAGGGTGATCTGTTTTCCTCAAAGACTATAGATTTTAATATTTTCTCATCTTAAAAAATACTTTCACAGAAACATATAGGATAATATTTGACTAGATATTTGGGTACTAACTAGCCAAGATCACACATAAAATTAACCACTATAGTCTCAGCAGTTTTTTGCTTCCCATCTGTGTACAGTTACCTGTTCAGACAGGAGAGCCTGATGACCTTACACTTGGGTAAGGGATCAGCTTCCAATTCATACTCTTTAGTGACCACATCTGTATCGACTAAACTATCATATGGCAGTTCCTATGGCCTCATAACTTGAATCCTAAAATTGGAATGGAAGCTTTGTTTGCACAAAATTTCCTCGCCCTTATATTTGACTCTCTGTTTTTCCTGACTCCTTATGAGGGCCTTTAATCTAACCAAACCATTCTACTTGCCATCCTCTGCAGAGGGGCTTTATTTCCTTCTGAGTCTCTATTTCTAGTCGACTTACTGTTCCTACCTTCTTCATCTCCACACCCCATGACACTGTCCTCACTTCTCTCACTAGCCTTACATTACCTATATCCTTCTCCATGCCAATGTTTTGTGGTCTCATGTATATCATTTGTCACCTAGATTGCACACTGCTAGAATAATCCTGTTTTCTATTTCTATCTTTCTTTCTATCCACCGTCTCTGCCCAGGTCTACAGAGTTTTGCCCATGGAGAATCTGCAACAACTATTGCAGAGCAATTCTTTCTAGATCCCTGTTGATTATGGACATACTTGTAGTGGTTTTCCCTAGTCTAAAGGACAAAATCTAGCCAAGATCAGATCCTCAGCCTGCCCTCCATCCCCCCACCCCTCTACCCCCCCCCTTGCTCCACCCCTGCCACAAGCTCACTGCTGCCCCATGTCCCTCCTACTCTTGCTCAGGGCAGCCCTCCAGAAGCTGGTGGACAGAAAGACAGCAGGCTTAGTGACATGACTGTCATTGCAGAGGACTCAAAAGTTCCAAAAGCTGTTTGCTGGGAACTTTTTCCAGCACTAAAATTGCCTTTAAAAAAATATGCCCCATCCCCCAAAGAAAAAGAATTTAAATTCAAACAGCCTTTACCTGCAGCCTCCCTCTCTCATTACCTCCCAGTTAGTGCTCGACGCCAATTGTCCATGAAATTCCACTGCTGTTAATGAAATGAGGAACATAAGAAGTTTGTGAACAGGAAGTGTCCATGCAAACCTCCACCTGTTTCCCTCCTTACTTCCTACTTTCAACTGTCAGCTTCCCCTGCCTCCACCTGTTCACTAGTCTCTAAATTGACCCCAGCTCGCTTCACTTCCTCAGTGACAGAGGGCAAAGGCTTGCAGTGAACACTGGAGTCTCTCTCCTTTCCAACCATGCCTTAGAGAAAGCATCTGATCTGGGTCCTGCCTGCATCACGCTCTAGCCAAGAGACCTTGACCCTATCTACTCAGAGCTTCCATTTACCCTATTTGACATTGGGGTTGCTTATACTAGCTCTACCTACATCACAGAATTTTGAGGATCAGACTAAAACTGCGTATTTAATGCCATTTTGAAAAGTGAGTAACACACCCCCAAATAAAACAATTACCTGCTTCCAACAGGCAATCCAGTTTTGAGTCTTTCCTATGAGTTCCACTTCCAGTTACCTCTTCTAGCATGCAGTTACGGACCCTCATAATCCCAGAAGGCCTTTATTCCAGAATCCAGACGCCAGGATCTGAAGTCATTACAATGCCTCCTTGCAGCAGACTTTGGTGATAGAGTCCTGCCAGAGAGACTTCGCACACAGCTCACCTGTGCTTCCTCCCTAGAGAAGTCACCCAGATTCTTCAGGTCGCCTCTTAGAAGGTGCTCTTGAAGAGTGAAGCTTGTCCCCTAACTCGGAGGGCCATGTGCCCCGATTTCAACACTGTGCTGCCAGGAACTCGTTTTAAGCCCCAGGGATGGGTCTGTATCCTGAAGGAATGACATTCATAACAAATGATACTAGAAACTTCCCCCAGGAATAGTCCCCTCTGTGGGAGTACCAGCCACCCTATGCACAGAGCAGCTTGAGCTCAACCCCTCCAAATGTTTATCAATTTCATGATTCCTAATGCACAGAGGAAGAAAACTGAGGAACAGAGCAAAAATGGGACTTCCCCAGCTGTGAATGCGCCTACCATCTGCCATTTCCCAGAGTTTAAGCTAGCTCGGCACTCACCAAGAAATCACAGCTCCCATTCCGGGACTTGCTGATGTCTAGAATAAAGTTAGCTAAGCATAGCCCCAGGCCCAAGCCAGGAAGCCCTCCATTCGTGATATGTCAGAGCAACTTCCAAGTGCTGGGGTTATGACCCCGAAGCCTCTGAGCCTCTGCGCCTTTCCTGTGGCCAATGCCGGGTGGCAGGTGACTCTCCTCGCCATCAACTCTCTCGCTGCTCTGGAGGGGAGGGTCCCTTGGTTAAGGCAGCTGAGCCTCTTGCCTCTCTGTGACCCAGCAGTAGCCCTGGGCTGGCTTTGGTCTGGCCAGATCAAGAAGCAAACCAAGAGCTGCCATAGGGGCAACCATGAGAAACTGCCTCTGATACACCTAACGCTTCTCTCTCAGCCCTCTCACTCTGTAGGAGCCTAGTTAGACATCTGAAGGCAAGGCTAGTAGAAGGAGGTGAAGCTAACATTTTTACCCTAACCTCTGGCTCTGGGTTTCCAGAAAGCTTCAGAGTTTTGGGTTGTAAGGTAGAGTCCATCCACCATCCCCAAATGGCAGATGACCCCCTAGGGGAGAGTTCTCAGTGCCTGTGGTCCCTCCAGGAAGGCTGTGCTGTCCTCTCGGCAGTCCTACCCATGTCCTGGAGTCCATCTCCACGATCTCTCTGTCCATTCCAGGGCTCACATTCCATCTCAGCAGCCAGAATGCCTCTGACTTATTTACCTGCCGAGACAGTAAGAGCTTCATAATTAGCAGAGCAACAGCATGGAGGCTTTTACGGGCAGCCACGCCCCCCACCACACTCTGGTGTCCGTAATTGAAATGACCCACACCAGTGATTAGATTAGGGGCTGAAGCAGCCCAGCATGCCACCCCGACCCCTCCCCCGTCCTGTTGGGGGGTGATGTAGTTAAGTTTGTGCTTCATTTGGCAGAGGCCATAAAGCAGGAATTGCAGGGAGGTTTTCTGCAGGGGTGGAAGGGGCTGCGGGCAGTGTGTGGGCTCTGTCAGGCAGCAGACTCCAGCAAGGGAGTTCCTTGCTCCCCGTTCACCTGCCCTCTCCCCCAGTGTAGTGCCAGGTTTCCAAGACCTGGGGCCCATGTGGCACAGCAGGACTATCAGCCCTATTCTGTGTCACAGACAGACTTGATCAGACTCACCCTGCTTCCATTCACCCTCTCTGCAGAACTCTCACCTGAGAGCAAGGGAATTCTCTTTCTCCCACCCTCTCTGGCCAGTCTCAGGCTCTCAGCAATTGCCCATACACAAGCTTCCCTCTCTGCCCCCTCTTCTCTCTTCCATCTCCTGCCACCGTCTCCCACCACCTGACCGCTTGAGGCTGAGACT